ATTTTATACTAATTTATGCAATGCTTTTGATACGAAATAAATAAATCTGCTTTATTATTTCTGTTTGCCACTAAGTTGAGTTACTTTATGGTTTTTTTTTCCATTTCAGGAGCAACTTGAGAAACTGCAAGTCGCTTCTGGTGTGAGAGATTTGGCCTTCTGCAAGGACGTTGCCCAGGTGATGCCTGGATGTTTTGATATTTTCCATCCTTGTGGGAAGCTTCTCTCATGTTTCTGTATTGCAAGCTGGAGCTGACAGAGGGAGCTCATCTGTGCTCTCCCGGATTGGAACCTCCGACCTGTCAGTCTTCGGTCCTGTTGTCACAGTTATCAAAAGCCCTCTGGTATCATAGTTACGGATTTGCAACCTAGAGATACAGATCCTTACTGTTAATTAATTTATTTACAGTATTTATATACTGTTTTTCTCACCCCTGGGAGGGGGGCTCAAAGCGGTTTACACAAAAATAATGGCAAAATTCAATGTCTTACATACGTAAACCAAATCACAAATCAACATCATATAACTAAGTATAAAAATCAATAAGACAATTCACTATAAGACAAGAAAATGGGGCATTTTAAACACAAAATATAAGAAATAAAACATCTAATTAAAATATTAAAATCACATGATCCAAGCACGTTGACCGGGCCATTCCAATGTCGATTGCACATATTCTGTCTTTACTTTTTGTACTGCATTACTTTACTAATCAAAAGCTTAGTTCCATAACCATGTCTTTGTTCTCTTTCCAAAGGCCAGGAGGGCCTCTGGAATTCTCTCACTGGGAGAGAGTTCCAGAGCTGAGGGGCCACCATTGAGAAGGCGCTGTCTCTCATCCCTGCCAACCACACTTGCGAAGCAGGCGAGACCGAGAGCAGGGCCTCCCCAGAAGATCTTAACCTCCTTGATGGGTCATAGAGGGAGATACTTTTGGACAGGTAAGCTGGGCTGGAACCATTTAGGGCTTTATAAGCTAAAGCCATCACTTTTAAATTGACAAAGCCCATGGATTCCTGATCATTGTACGACTGCCATTGTACAAGTCCCCCAGTCCTGTTTTTACCAAAGATTTGCTGTTGCAAGTGATGGAGGATTGTTCTTTTGATGATTGGGAAGCAGCAGACTGTCCTGGCTCTGCAGCTCACTCTCACAGAGTAAGTAAAGGAGGGAGCAATCAGCTCAGAGTTTAGATATTAGTGCAGAAAAAGGGAATATTCAACAAGGACCAGAAATCATCCTTGCTCTTGTTTAACAGAAGTGTAATCAAGGTCTTGGTTCAGGAAAATAACTTATCACCAGGCAATCCAGGTTCTAGGAATCTAGCATGGTAGGCAGCCAGTTTAGGGCTCAGAGTCACAGAAGCAGAATTGAATGGGATTATTACTTCTCTCCATCTAGACCAGTGGTTCCCAAACTGTGGTTTGTGGACCACCAGTTGTCTGCAAGAATGAAAATATGATCAACTGGCTCACCATTACTATACCGTTGCCTTGAAACTATGCAGTTCTGGCCCAGTTTATCTGTCCGAATGTATCTCCCTCTACAAACCATCAAGGACCTTAAGATTATCTGGAGAGACCCTGCTCTCGGTCCCACCACCTTTGCAGTCACATTTGGTGGGGATGAGAGACAGGGCTTTCTCCGTGGTGGCCCCTTGGCTGTAGAACTCCCTCCCTAATGAGATCAGATCCAGCCCCTCCCTTCTGACCTTCTGGAAGAAACTCAAATCCTGGATGTGGAATCAAGCATTTGCAGAATAGACTGATTTTCTGGGAAAGACAAAGTTGTAATGGGCAACAATGGACTGTTTTTAGGATGACGATTTGAACTGGCGAACTGTTTTAATGCAATGTATATTTATAACTGTCTTAATTTGTACTAACTGTATTTTATGCTATGTTTTATTTTGTGTTGGCATTGAATAGTGCCTGTTGGTAGCCGTTCTGAGTCCCGCTTCGGAGGTTAAGAAAGACGGGATATAAATGTTCCAAATACACAAATAAATCAATGCAGCAATGAGAGCAACTGGTCTCGCGAAACCCTTTAAGAGTGTCAAGGCAACGAGGATGTCGGGAGGGGAGAGACTGACTACCTATGAAAGTTTACTGCTACCACATCGGCTCTAGATTATTAAATACGGATTTCTGTGGGTGAGCAGGTGGCAACTACTGGATGGTGTATGTTCTGTATTGGAAACTAGAGCTGATGTGGTCTATCTGATGCAATTTTCTGTGGTGCAGCTGGCTTAGAGTCAGCTGCATTCAGATCACTACTGACCAAAAGATCATGAGTTTGAAGCCAGCCCGGGTCAGAGTGAGTTTCAGGCCAATTTGTGTAGCTTGCTGTTGACCTTTGCAGCCCAAAAGACAGTTGCATCTGTCAAGTAGGAAATTTAGGTACCGCTTATGTGGGGAGGCTAATTTACGATGCCATAAAAATCTCCAGCAAGCATGCAAAGAATGAGGTAGTACTTCATCACAAATGGACGGTGAAGTGACAGCTCCCCTGGTGGCCAGAATATCCTCAAGCAAAAGCTGGAATGTTAAATAGCCTCTGTGTGTCTGTCTATATATGTTGAGTGTTGTGACTCAGTTTGATTCTGAGTGTGAAGCTGAGTTCTGTGGGCCTTCCGAGCCAGAATTCCTACAGGATGATGAGGAGGCTGATGGGTTACATATTTCTGTACATGCTTCAGACAGGGCTGACGGTGGGGCTGCTGAAGGAGAAACAGCAAGTCAGTTCCCAGGAGAAAGGAATGTTAGTGAGACTGATAACAAGAGTGAAATCCCACATGGCCAGGTGGAGACGTCTTTGCCTTCCCACAATAATCCGGTCCAGCTGGGCCAAGATAAGGGGTTGCATAGCCTTGAAGATAATGAATTAATGAGCAGACAAGATCGTCTACTAGTAAGGCTCCGGAGAAGCACTCACTTGGCTAGCAAGCGAGAAGCCAAGGGTGCCAAAGGTCAATGCAATACATTCATGTCTGCAAAGGGTATTTAGCCTTCTAGCTGACAAACAGGGATTGTCAGTTCAGCATAGCTCTTTCCATGCAAACTTCTGTGGATTAACTTTGGTTTTTAGCAGCATGCTTCTAGCTTCCTGAGTCTAAGATTTGGGCCTTGTTTTCAACTGTTTTCCATGGACTCTTGTTTGACCATTGCTAAAGGATTATGCTTAATGTTTTTGCCTTTAGATCTTGGGAACTTTGTCTTTGCATTTCCGCCTTTGTCCTGCCGATGGAACTTTTGCATTTCTTATACTTTGTTTTGATTTTGCCTTTTTCTCAACAAACTACAAAACCTACAGCTTTTGTGTGGTGGTGTCTGGAGCAAGGTGAAAGCTACCCTGAGTTGCAGCATTGGGTGTCTACGGCAGGGGTCCCCAAACTACGGCCCACGGGCCACTTCTGGCCCACTAAGAGCCCTTATCCGGCCCGCGGAGGAGGAGCGCCCTCCCCCCACAGTGCCCCTTCGTTGGCTGGCTCATGCTATCCGTCAGTCCCGATGGACAGTGTGAGCCAGCCAAGGTAGGCTGCTCTGCGTGGTCTACTCGTGCGTAAATCACCTCGTGAGGTGCTTTACTTGCAAGTAGGCTGCGCAGGCCTGCTCCTCCCTTGGGAGGCTCACGCTATCCGTCAGGCCCGATGCAAATATGAGTAGATCAATAGGTACCGCTCCGGCGGGAAGGTAACGGCACTCCATGCAGTCATGCTGGCCACATGACCTTGGAGGTGTCTATGGACAACGCCAGCTCTTCGACTTAGAAATGCAGATGAGCACTACACCCCAGAGTCAGACACGACTGGACTTCATGTCAGAGGAACACCTTTAACCAGGAAAATTGTGGAAGATCCAGGGTGGGAGAAAGAACTCTTGTCTTTTGGAGGTAGGTATGAATGTTTCAATTGGCCACCTTGATTGCCATTTCATAGCCTGACAGTTTTAGGGAGAATCCTTTGTTGAGAGGTGATTAGCTGGCCCTGATTGTTTCTTGTCTGGAGTTCCCCTGTGTTTGAGTGTTGTTCTTTATTTCCAGTTATAATTTTAGAGTTTTTTCAATACTGGTAGCCAGATTTTGTTCAGACTAGAAATAGGAAGATTTCCCATTCTCTGCTCCTGGAATTACTGCCTAAAGAGGGCTAGAAAGAACCCCCTCTAAGGGCCCTTCCACACAGCAAAATCAGATATGTGCAATGTGCATAGGATTTTTTTAATTGATTTTTTTTAAAAAAAAAAACTATAGTCCGGCCCTCCTTCTGTCTGAGGGACAGTGAACTGGCCCCCGGTTTAAAAAGTTTGAGGACCCCTGGTCTACGGCATTGAATGTTTGCCATGTATATGCACATTGTAATCTGCCCTGAGTCCCCTGCGGGGTCAGAAGGGTGGAATATAAATACTGTAAATAAACAAACAAACAAACAAACAAATAAATAACCAAACCAACTCTAAAGTTGACCAAAATCTGATTCATAACTCTTTTGGTACTAATGTTGAAGAATGGTCCCTAGTCAAAGTGATCCCTGTTCAAGTGGTAACTGGTCAAAAAAAGGTTGGGAACCTCTGACACTTATTGATGCAGCCTAGAATCATACTGGCTTTACCTGCCTCATCACATCATTGATGTGGAGAAACATGGAAAATCTAAGTGCAGGGCCCTGACCACAGAACTAAAACTAGAATTTTTTTCCCATTACAACACCATATAATGAAATTTTCTCCAAACTGGCTGCACCACTTTGCTTTCCGTATCGGTACTGCTCATCTAGGTGGCCCAAGATTGGAGACGGAGGTTCATTTCTGGTATTCCCAAAATGAAAATCCAAAATCCATGGGTTTGGGTTCTGCTTTGCTTTGTCTAGGATGGTTGGTATGTGCTGGCTGATTCTGATGAGGAAAAGGCCTTTTTATCCATGCAAATAGCAGGATGAGGAGGAGGAGGTTCCATTCTCCCCACCTTTGAGGGCTGGAGCCTACAGAGAAAACAGCTCAGCTGAGAAGGTGCAGATTTGATCAGCGGGGGATTGAGAGGCAGAGAAGGAGAAATTCTCGTGCTGTCGAAGATGCAGCTAACTTTCTGTTGGTTGGTGCTACTCCCTCTGGTAAGTGCATTCAGCATTTCATAATTTTTCTGTCAAATAGGGAGCAAAAGGACTAGAGATCCTGATTCTTTAGAGGAGAAGGCAGGTGATGGGTATGGTGCGTTGGATGCTTTTGAGATCGCTGAATGCAAATAAGGGATCCCTAATCCCCCTGAATTGCCCACTGTGCTCAGATGAAAGCAATTCAAAGAGGGTAAATAGGGGAGACTATCTGAACTGCTCTTTCGATGCCCTTTTGTTTATGGAGGGCATTGGACCATATGGTGGGGATTCTTTGGCATTATTCATCAAAAGGTGCAGTGGCATAACCTTAACATTGGTGAGTATGGAACGAGAAGCTGTCAGTTTTGCTTTACTAATTTATCTGTCTAGAAGGGGGCAAATTTTGGTCAACCAGATGAACCAACCTCTGTAGCATGGTGTATCCACTCCGAGTTTTAGTCAAAGGAGCTTCAGTGCGCAGCACCTCTGCCAGAAAAAGGGCTTGGTTTCCAGGATAGGATTCAACATCTGGTGGCACAATGAGTGAAACCCTTGTGCCAGCAGGACTGAAGACTGACAGGTCAGAGGTTCAAATCTGCAGAGAGCGTGGGTGAGCTCTCTCTGTCAGCTCCAGCTCCCCATGCGGGGACATGAGAGAAGCCTCCCACAAGGATGGTAAAACACGAAAACATCTGGGCGTCCTCTGAGCAACATCCTTGCAGAAGGCCAATTCTCTCACACCAGAAGCGACTTGCAGTTTCTCAAATCACTCTTGATATGAAAAACAAACAAACATCCACAGTGTTTTTCTTAGATACCCAGCATATCACATTTCTTATCTCAACATCTATATAAATAAAAATGTAATGTTCGTTTCTGAGATTAACATAACTCAAAAACCACTGGATGAATTGACACCAAATTTGGAGACAATACACCTCTCAGGCCAACAAGCAACCATCATTCATAAAAACACCCAAAAACATAGCAGAAGAGACTTAAAAGGCCAAAAAAAAAAAAAACACCACCCAAAATAACATTACAATGGATGCATAAAACTATATATATATATATATATATATATATATATATATACATACATACATACATACATACATACATACATACATACACAAACACACATATGCACAAATATATAAATACACATATACACACATACAAAATAATTACACAAGTCACTTTTGGTGTGAGAGAATTGGCTGTCTGCAAGGACGTTGCCCCGGGAGTGCCCAGATGTTTTACCACCCTGTGGGAGGCTTCTCTCATGTCCCTGCATGAGAAGTTGGAGCTGACAGAAGGGAGCTCACCCTGCCCCCTGGATTCAAACCGCCGACCTTTCGGTCAGCAGTTGTGCCAGCACAAGGGTTTAACTCACTGCGCTTCTAGGGGCTCTATGAAACATAAGTGAATTGTGTGCTTAGAATTGGCTCCCATCTCCTAGCTATCTCGTTATCTATATAAATAAAAATGTAATGTTCCTTTGTGGGATTAACATAACTCAAAAACCACTGGACGAATTGACACCAAATTTGGATACAAGACGCCTATCTGGCCAATGAGTGACCATCACTCATAAAAACACAGCAGAAGAGAGTTAAAAAGCCAAAAACCAAAAAATACATAACAATGCATGCTTAAAAACATACATATATATGCAAACACACATATAGACACATACACACAAATATATACACACTCAAAACACATCTATACAGACTGGGCCACAGCAATGCATGGCAGGGGACAGCTATATATATATATATATATATATATATATATATATATGCGTAAACTCATATATTCAGCCAAGCCAGAAAATCAAACTGAGATGTGAGTTTCAGGTTAGGTTTAAAGACCAATTCCAATCCGTTATTTCTGAACACACACCTGAATATCTCGTTCCCTTGCATATTTCCAAAAACAGTTCCACATTTGGATTTTCCCTTCTTTTTCTCATTCAATTGGTCACATTTTCATGATTGTGAATCACATACGTACTTATTTGTACCTTTATTTTTCATTTTGAGTATATTTCAACATAATGATTTTGTGAACTCCCAATTATTTGGGGAGACACAGAAGGGTTTCTTTTCTCTCCCTCTCCCCATTTCTTGCTATTTCACAAATATTGGACCCCAAAGTATTTGGAGATTTGTCAGAATTTGAATGTGGGTCTGAGCATTTTTTTTCTCCTTGAAGGCATGCTATAAATTTGAGGATTTAAAAAGCAACATCTTGTCTCAATTCTAGTTGGAAAACTGTGTGTCAAAAAATATCACACCAACAATGATTAAGACATTCGTATTCTGCCTCATTAAGAAGAGTTATGAAAAGACGCCTTTCTTTGGAACAGTTGGTGCTTGAAAGCAGGATGTTTTTGACATTTGGAAATTAAAAAAAGAAATACGTGTTTTGGCCGAAATTCAGCCTTTTACAGAAAATGTTGATTATACCCCTTTGCTCTCAGAGAAAGAAAGGAAGGAAGGAAGGAAGGAAGGAAAGAAGGAAGGTAGGAAAAGAGGGTGGGAGGAAAGAACACACACAGAGAAACTGAAATATCAAATCATGACATTTGAATCTTCCAAAATTTGAATCTTTAGCTGCAGATTTTCCCCAAAGGGTTGAATTTTGCAATTGTTGTTGTTCATTCGTTCAGTCGTTTCCGACTCTTCGTGACCTCATGGACCATCCCACGCCAGAGCTCCCTGTCGGCCGTCACCACCCCCAGCTCCTTCAAGGTCAGTCCAGTCACTTCAAGGATGCCATCCATCCATATTGCCCTTGGTCGGCCTCTCTTCCTTTTCCTTCCATTTCCCCAGCATAATTGTCTTCTCTAATCTTTCCTTTCTTCTCATGATGTGGCCAAAATACTTCATCTTGGCCTCTAATATCCTTCCCTCCAATGAGCAGTTGGGCTTTATTTCCTGAAGTATGGACTGGTTGGATCTTCTCGCAGTCCAAGGCACTCTCAAAACTTTCCTCCAACACCACAGTCCAAAAGCATCTCTCTTCCTTCGCTCAGCCTTCCTTATGGTCCAGCTCTCACATCCATAGGTTACTACGGGGAATACCATTGCTTTAACTATTTGGATCTTCATTGCCAGTCTGATGTCTCTACTCTTTACTATTTTATCGAGATTGGTCATTGCTCTCCTCCCAAGAAGTAAGTGTCTCCTGATGTCCTGGCCACAGTCTGCATCTGCAGTCATCTTTGCACCTAGAAATGCAAAGTCTGTCACGGCCTCCACGTTTTCTCCCTCTATTTCCCAGTTGTCAATCATTCTTGTTGCCATAATCTTGGGTTTTTTGATGTTTATGATTATGAATTTTGCAATACATAATTTTAATTTTGGAGCCCCAGGTGGCATGGTGAATTGAACTGCTGAGTTGCTAAATTTGTTGACCGAAAGGTTGCAAGTTCAAATCCGTGGAACGGCATGAGCTTCCGCTTTCAGCCCCAGCTTCTGCCAACCAAGCATTTCGAAAACATGCAAATGTGAGTAGATCAATAGGTACCACTACAGTGGGAAGGTAACGGCGCTCCATGCAGTCGTGCTGGCCACATGACCTTGGAGGTGTCTATGGACAACACCCACTCTTTGGCTTAAAAATGGAGATGAGCACCAATCCCCAGAATAAGACATGACTGGACTTAATGTCAGGGGAAAATTTTGATCTTTACCTTTAATTTTAAGTTAAGGTATAGCTTAGAAATGTTCCTTTTTTGGACTTTTCAGATTGAAGCACACAGCCAAAAAAGGCCACATTTCCAAGCTTTGGGTTAAAGGACTAATTTTAAAGCCAGATCTTTATGATTTTGGAACAATTCCAGTTTTTAAGTGTCATCGGAGAACCAATTTGTACAATTTGAAACTTCATCATGGTGCCATTGGAACCAAATCGGCAATTCAAAGGGATTTCCATTTCAGCTGTTAACCTATGTGCCTGGAATGGCTCGTTCCAAAGGTCAGAAAAACTACCTTTTTGAACTGTGAAAGCTGGTTCATTCTGGGTGATGTAACTAACAAGGATTTTCCCTCTAAGCTGTGGAATTCCCATACAATACAAGTGAATGGCAAATCATCATCATCATCATCATTGGCAATCACTCATGCCTGAGTCAAATTGCCTTCCAAGTGTAGTGGGTTCATAGGTAACTGTAGAGACCCATTCTTCCGCAGTGAGGACATTGATTGTCAGATGGAAGGTGGTCCCTGTCAGGGTTGGCTTGACTTGCCTTCCTCTTTACATGTTTCTCCCCTTCACCCTCCATTCATGCCTCTTTGAATTCCACAGCACTGCTGGTCACAGCTGACCTCCAGTTAGATGCTCAAGGGCCAGGGCTCCCCAGTTCTCTCTCTCTCTGTATCTATGCCACAGTTTATGAGGTTAGCTTTAAGCCCATCTTTCAATATCTTTTCATGTCCACCAACATTTCGTTTTCCATTCTTGAGTTGGGTGTAGAGTAGCTGCTTTGGGAGACATTCAGACATTCGGGCATTCAGACAACCTGCCATTCAGTCCAGCAGAGTTGATGGTGGAGGACCATCGCTTCAATGCTGGTGGTATTTGCTTCTTCCAGCACACTGATGTTTGTCCACCTGTTTCCCAAGAGATTTGCATGATTTTTTGGGAGGCAACGCTGATGGGATCATTCCAGGAGTTGAATGTGATGTCTGTAGACAGTCCACGTTTTGCAGGCATATAACAGAATTGGGAGGACAGTAGCTTTATAAACAAGCATCTTTGTCTTCTTATGGATGTCCAGGTCCTCAAACGCTCTCTGTTTAATTTGAAAAAGTGCTGCACTCACAAAGTTCAGGTGGTGCTGTATTTCATTGTCGATGTTGACTTTTGTGGGGAGGTGGCTGCCAAAGTAGCAGAAATTGTCAACATTTTCCAATGTTACACCATTAAGCTTTATTTCTGACATTGCAGAGGGATTGGCTGATGCCCTTTGCTGGTAGAGTACTCCGATATTCTTGATGTTCAGTGAG